ATTTACTTTGATATTTTCAGGATACTTAGAATTTACCTACGCGTTCATTTACTCTAAGGCGTTACTATCGCCTTAATAGACCAAATCTTACAGCGTCAGCATCGGCCATTACTCTCCCAATACTGTACAAAAAGGACTCCGGGGCCTCTACGGCCTTAAACAGGCAGGGCGCCTTTGGAGCCAAGACATCGGTCTGTCGTACTTTTGAACAACTCGGTTTTACTCAGAGCGCTGTCCGTGATATTCTTCTGGTGATATATTTGGGCAACGCCCAATGTGTAAAAGTCAGACTAACCAGGCTGACTATCGGTTTCAATAAGTTAACGTAAAAGAAAAGTAAGATTTCAAAGTAAATTTGCACAATGTAATTTTAAGTTTAGCTTCAGCCCTTGGTAATGAATTAAAGATTAGGGGATGTAAGACTGAGACTATTGTCTTTATGGCTCCGCTCTAATCACTCAATACTTCGGTCTAGATTTATTCGGGGTTAGTAACTAAGATCAGTTTTCATTTCATTGGATGCATGATATTTTCTTCTATACCATTTCATGCCTCGAAATTACCTTCCAATCGCAATTACCAATAAAATAACTCTAAGTCCAACTTAAGAAAAAGAAAAGAAATCAAAACCACCATGATGGCACAGTTAAATGTCTGTACCTATAACCCATCACATGGTACCTAGCTCTCCATCCCATTGAAGGCATATACGGGTACATCTAGTTGGCCGGCTAGGGGGGATCATTTTTATGCTTCATTTCTCAGTAGGCTATCTCGCGCTGAGAGTATTTGGTAATACAACATGTGTCATCAAGTGTCAATATCACTTGAGACTCACCCAGTGTTGTATCCCAATATTCTGATGGAAAACACATCAGTGTAAAAAAACCATCATATCAATATCAACAGGGTCTCCGGCCTCTGTCGTATACAATTGTAATTCCAAATATCCAAATTAGATTATTTGTTTGTTTGTTTTCTATAAATTCAATTATATACAATTGCGTTTCAACGTATACTAGGTTTCAAAACCGTAATAGCGTTTAAACGGGATTACGTTTATAATATGCGTTAACATGTGCTTCTACTATAGGAATCCGCTGATTTTACAAATGGCTCTTCGACCAACTCTTTCGTACTTACAGCATGTTAAATCTTGGTCTCGCCCGTCACCTGATGGGTCTTCGCATACTTCAGCACGCCTCCGGCTCTATCGCAATATGCAAGGCGCCTACATAGAACGCATGGGCCATGTCTTCCAATCGCTCACCGCCCCACCAGAGCACACTCAGAGTTCACCCGGGCACCCTCACAGGTATTATTTTTCACGGAAAATACCGCAAGCTTCTTGGAGCTTTCGATTTTGCCGCGAACATAATCAGATCAGCTCACAGCTTTCGGCGTCGCTCCGCCCATCTCCCACTATAAAGCCCTGACGCGTATCTTGCACTACCTACTGACGAAAAAAAACTCTCGCTTTTCAATACAACATAGCTCCCGATCCCCGCCCTGTTGACCATCATTTCGTAGCCTACACGGATACCGATCGGGGATCCTACCTTCTCACACGCGAGTCACACACCGGCACCATCAGCAGTATAAATATTACCTTTGTTATTTGGAGAAGCCAAAAAACAGAAGTGGGTCAGCATCAGTTCTATCGAGGTTGAATATATCGCCGCCTCTGAGACAACACGTGACCTAAGTAACGAAGGGTCTCGGGACGAGTCAACCTCTTCCTCAGAATATAAACCACTTAAGTTTTTACCCGGACCCCTACTCTTGGTTTACATTGACATGTGTGAATACTTAGGCCCACAATTTCGTCTAAGTTTATTCCACAACTATTCGAAACTATTATAAATAAACAATAAACAATTCTATTCAGAAGTTTGTAGATCCTAATCTTCTTTTGCTTATATATATTATGCCGAGGTCGGGCACTCTCCTTATAGAATTCTTTATATCCTTTAAACATTATTCGAGTAGATATCTTTACAACCTTCATTTTTCAAAATGATTAAACTCATTGTTGTGTCGTATACGGTTAAAAGCCTTTTAGTTTCTGCTACTTGAGCAAGTGTCTTGCATAACGGGAATTTCAATTGATGTATACCAATTATATTCATTTCTTCTCTCTGGGACATCACGGTACTTGCGATGAATTTCCACAAGTGCTACCAAATCCGTAGCCGCCGGAGGTAGCACACCAACAAATGATAGGGCAACACTTCTAGTTGCAAGATGGTGTAAGGGTTAGGTAGGCGATTGAAGCCTTAGGCCAAAGGTTGATGGTATACTGAATCGGTCTCAATGTTGGGCTGAAATTGAATGTTCTCGTTATACGTGGAAGCTGAATAGGATATCACAGTTTTGTGTGTGCGTGTGATCTTGATAGTTAACAGAAAAATTAGTTCACCAGTTTCACATATTGTCTTATGAGTATTATCAGTATATACTTCTATTAATATAGAAGTGTATATTTAGTATCTTTTTGAGTCTGTAGTGTTAAAAGTACAATAATTATAGGTATTAATATACCCATGAAGGATGCCCAGAATATTCTACCCTTCATTGAAAGCAATAGCTTTATTGACCAAGTTTGGCAATAGGTCATGATCAGCATAGCACTTAACAGCATAAGAAACGAAATGTGCTTGCAGAACCGGCCTGACCTCGTATCATGTGTAGGAAGTTGAAAACCCGTTACGATTGAACTGGGCCCCAGGGCAGTCTCAGACCATGACGCTCATATCAAACGTTCTTACCCTTATCATTCTTACTCGGAAAGGATAAATTTGAAGGTATTAGGTAGGGTACGAGAACGAGAGGAAAGACGGCCAGAAGACAGAAATACCATGGTCAAAAATCGTATTGACAACCGGGATGCACACAATCGTGAAGCATATGGACATACTGTACAAAACTATCGCTTTAGCATTTCTAGTCCGGCGCAGTTGAACACCAACATTTTTTCTCAGGCAACAACTCCTGATGACCATGACTAGTATGTAAAGCTTTCTGTTCTTCGTGACCTGCGCTTTCCACTCCGATCACGTCCACAGTCCTGGTTATGTAGCTATCAGGCTATAATTACTATTATATCATCACGGTTGTGACGTTTCTCAGGTGCATAGCTCGAAAGTTTGCACCACGAAGACTTGTCAAGGATAGACCGAAGTACGAAAGTAGCCAGAATAATTATGCATGTAGTGAAAGAGGATATTTCCATATTGTCTAAACGGACATTAAAATAGTCGTTGATTTGCTGAGATGCATGTTAGAATAGTAGCGTCATATCTCAAAATATTATAAAGACGAAATGTAAAAAGAATCATTAGACTTGACAGTAAGAGAGAATGCGTTAAACCGCAATCATGATCAGTTTCCTCTGCCAAGGGTGAAGAGAAGCAAATGTAGTATACGTTGCCAACCTTAGTCTGAAGATTGCAATGGTGTTTATACAGCTTCGGGAGTCCGGGAGCTCGTTTTTCTGGCGCCAAGCAGTTTGGCAGGTTTTATGCCTAAAGGTGTAAAACCCCCTGTTTTTTCATATCTTGTTTTTCTAGAAAAACAAAAAACAAAAATCCGCAAAAAATGATAAACCCACCCCTGCTCTGGGCTGTTGGCCTGTCTTGCTTTACTCAACAGGGCCATTTATGCCCCAAATCTTGGCAGAAAACACCTGTATATCCAAACAGCGAATGATATTGTATTAATTTCAGAAACAAAATTCCAACTCTCAAGTCTGAAGAATGAAGTCATAAAGGAACAGCGCGTAGAGAACGCTCTAATAAAGGGATGGTCAATTCTCTCACTCACTACGCAGAGTTATGTCGGGGTTAGACAAGGAGGCTAGCCCTGATCCACTGAATGCCGAAATTCAAGATGGCGTCGACAAACCATCGAAAACTGTCGCATCAATAACACCCGTTGTTCAACCCGATATCAACTCCCATGGCGCTGTGGTTGTGGAAGAGGTAGTACCTCGGTACTCTAATGGCACAGTATTCTATACCCGTACGAAGTCGGTGGCAGATCCCTCTACGACAATCAATCCTTTTTCCGTTAACGATATTCAGAATCAACTTGCGTCTACCCACTTTGACGGTCGCAGTTCGACGAGCGCACCGACGCTCAATATTTTTGGTGTACGCCAGGAACCGACGCAAGCGGAACGAGGCATGCATCCAGCAGCCGGTCCTCAACCAGATAATACACCGTTCCAGAGGCAAGTATTTCTAAATGCAGCACCAAAAGATGCTAAAGGTTCATTTCACAAGCTAAAGTATGCAAAGGGGCCTTCACAAGGCTCGCAAGCACCATCCCAGCTGCGATGGTCTGCAAGTACAGCGTCTCAAAGTGTGCATATGGTTGACCGAAGTCACGTCAACGCGCTTTATGCACAGGTTGCAGAAATGAATCAGGTCCAAGAACAGTCAGGTGCAGCGAAACCACATAACTGGACCGATCTTCTTGAAGTTGGCACTACGAACGGATTTTTCTGTACCGTCTGTCATCAAATACAACGCAGGGGGCACGAATGGGGCAGCAGAAAACGACAGGGACTTGAGCCCATTGGTCCATGCTCCAGACAGTTCAACCACAGCTTTATACCGTTTTACAGGGGATCTACTATCATGCGTGTCTGTCGTGACTGCGGCGAGACGCAAAGGTGGGGCAAGAAATTCGGTACTAATAGGTCTTCGGGCTATGAACCATTGGCTAATGTAATATGCGGGAAGCCTGACGCTGAGTGTATGGCGTACTATTATAAGATTTTGGTCAACGCGAGCCTGTATGTATCACCTTTGACACCAGTGCTTCGACCGGATAATGTCGACGCTGTCCATGCAGACAACATGTGGCATTCTATTGCTGACAAACTTCAGCAAGAGCGGGACAAGGGTCTGGATTTCCAGAAGGAGTTCCCTTTATTTGCGGACGTAGATCGAGAATTAATCAACGAAGCGCTCACACATCCATCCCACACGGGTGCCGACGGTAAAAATTACTTGAGACTCGCTTTTCTGGGGGATGCGGTACTGGATCTGTATGCGGCCGAGAAGTTGTACACCGAGAACGAACAGATGAACAACGGAGAATTGACGGTCGAGAAGTCGAGAATCGTTGCCAATCAATCCATCGGATTATTTGCGACTTCATATCTGCCGTTTGTGAGGACCAAACTCGTAATCACGAGAGAATCGAAAATAGCTGGCGACGTGATAGAGGCACTAATTGGGGCTTATTATCTACAATTCGGGTATGGCAAAACGGCTCAGTTTCTCGTTAGTCTAGGAGTGGGTCGTTAGTGAGTCTTCATCCGCCACAGGCGTGCTTTCACATCAGGCTTGGCGCTAGATATGTGGTCTTGCTATCATCCCCTTGTACTTATTTGGTGCGCACACAATGCTTCGGATATACGACTGTCTATGCGTATGCGTATGACTGTATAAGTGTATGCTTAATACGGGTTCGCTTTACGCCGCAAGACAAGCGCTGTGCGCTTAACGCCGTAAGACAAGCGCGTATATGGTTGCGCGCCAGTATTTGGTTATAGATGCAATTAACTGGAACACTCACAACTTTCGTCGGTATTATGCAATGGGTAGCGGGAAACAAGCAAGAGTATCTGCTTGTGCACTACAATCTAGAGCTTGCGTAGGAAGTGCTCTTACGTGCTTTATTGGTGTGCATCTAGCCGAGGATACACAGCCGTTTCAGAAATCCTTCTTCATGACGCGTCATGAACGATATGGTGTATGTGTCTTTATACGCTTTTGTAAACTCCGTATAAGGCTCACATTAAACACGTCAACACTAACGGTTGAGCTGAGCGGTCGCTGAGCCGATGTTCAATGTTCTACAAATATAATTGAGCGTTATATTGTGGAGTTTCGTAAAGTAGAGTAGGAACATGAGAATATCATGGACAGAACAGGCAGAGATCTAACGACACTTATTTAATGAAGGATATATGTCGCGGTGTCGCTTTCTCCATTGCGGAGTGCGATATCTAAGAGTATTATGGTTCGAATATCAATTCGTCCAAGGAGGGTCCGAACCGTGCCAAATAATATACGAATAATACCGAGAGGGTGTCTAACGAATGAAGTAAGAGTTGTATTTAAACTTGACAAGGTGCTACTACTATCTTTATTAGTGACGCATCCGACGACTGAAGAGGACAAAATAATATTTTTTATCCAAATAAACGTCGGAAATGAGAATTTGGTCTGTAGCACAGAAGCGTGCGATTAGGCTTCATATGCTTGATGTGGAGTCGCTTCATTCTCAGTGCTATGATATACTGCCGCTCATTAATATTACATCATGCTGCATGTGGAGCACCTTGTATGACAGTAGTCTATACAATCATCTTTGCATCTCATTTAGTATCACTTCATGTTGCATGTGGCGTAATTTGTATGACAGTAGCCTTTAGTATTACTGTTGTCTCGGCATTACTTTCGTCCAAGAACGTCCTTTTTGTACCTCGGCATCTCTTTTCATGGCCCTCTGGCTTAGGGTCTGCGCCAATTTTACGATTTCCGCTACGACGATTAGAAACTTGAATTCTGCTCGAGACTCTAATCCAGAGGGACATGCACTGTTGTCACAGTATGGTATGTGCACACTACTTTCATAGGTTCTATTTCCAACACTAAACTTCTACAGTTAAAGTAGCTACACTTTTCTTTCTTTCACGGCGCTGTGCGTTCTTTCCTTTATTACAGATTATACCATATTTGAAAAAATATCTAATGAGCAATATGGGAAATCTATCTAAATACAATCGAGCAGTCAGACAGGACTAGCTTAGTTCCCTTTAGACCGCTGATCCTCCTACTGACGATACAGACGGGTAGTCCAGGTCGCCCGCTGTCTCTGACGGTGCTTTTGGCACCAATCCACCATCACTGTAGATACCAAAGACAAGTGATTCGCGGGGGACTCTCACATAAATCGTTCGATTACCACTCCTCGTTTCTGCATTCTCCAAGATCGTACCCTTAGCATCGAATCCTGTAACCAACAGATGGCGTCCTCGATCGTTACTGACTAGTTGGAACGCGCTACCTGGGGCCTTGCAGGATCACCCCCCACTATCTTGCCGGCCACACGCCACACACCATCTGGGTTCTCTAAGTCTCGTTCCACGACGACAAAGTCGGTTACGTCAGCGGTTGAAGTGTCATTTGAAGCGTTCTGCTTCACGTTTTCTGCCGCAAAAACGTTCAAGAACTCTGGTATATTGGAGTACGTCTGCGAGACGGGGGCATGATTAAAAATAAAATGGATCAAGGTTAGTTCGACAGAACACGTCTAGGACAATTTTACGCAACATAGAGTACAGACCAATGAATTGATATTTGCGCTGATGCTAAGTTCGGTAACGAAAATTCCAAAACACTAGAGGTGCGATCGCACGGCCAGCAGCGGAGGGATACTTTCCCAAATTAAGACGCTCTGTATACACTTCCAGCCGAACAATGTATCTTAAGGATTGACGAGTACGAACTACAGCGTAGGAAATTTACTCACCATTCTATTCTTCGTGCGCACAGTAGCCTGGCACCAGAACTTGCCCTTCCCTTGAAGTTCCAAAACTCTGCAGTTCACCATTTTGGGTCGATCTATCTGGTTCTCGATCTTCCAGACTAGCTGGTGCTTCCTCGGTGTACTGAAGGCTTTTGTGATTTTCTGTGGTCGTGTTAAAGCATAACAAGAGTTTCAGTTTCAATATATACCCGAGCCCTCTCATAGGTTTACCCAATATTTTACTACTATGGTCTCGTTCACAATCAGAAATAGAACGAAGCTGGTATATTCAAAATCAACTACATACCTGGTACACATCTCCAGTTGTTAGTAGAGATAAGGACTGTCTATCCTTGTTCACCAGCGCCGTATTGAGAGCGATCATAATCTGAGAGACACACAGAGAGTAAACTTCTGAATGAGAAACTACATCGATGCTAAGCCTGTCACAACTGGCGGTATTGAAAGCGTGTACACACAGATAGCACGTAACACGACCATCTCTTGCAACGAAAAAGGATAAGAAAATTACGAGTAATAGCAAAGCTGACTAATATTGGTTAACTGACATGGGCATATCTCCAGTACGAACCGCCAACTAGCCGACGATATCACACTTTAGTCTACCGATAAGGAGTGAAATGCAACGATAAACAAGCGTATTCACTTTCCGAACGGTAGTACGCCACACACACAAAGCTACAGAAAGGCACGAGCAATTAGATATACCTGCTCAGTGTGCAAAGCAAACTCCATTGGTTTCCATCCACTCAAATTCTTCTTCACGATTCCAACACCAAGGGTTGTGGAGAAGAACTGCTTACATCTGATCCATCTCTGCGTCAGCCCTTCCATGGTGTAAATCGGTTTCCTTAAGTTGCCTTCCGCGGGAACCCATGGATCAACTGAATACAAGACACAACAGGAAATAATCAGGAAACATACAGAATTAATAGTTAATTCAATACTCCAAACTTGTACACATGTCATGGTCCATCCGATCACCTGCGATTATACGTTCCCACGTACATGTACACGTACACGACCACGCACACGCACACGCACAATATATAGATATATATATGAGACAGAGACAGAGACAGACAGAGACACAACACAGACACAGACATATATATACACAGACATATATATATATATGTATATATATATATATATATATATATATAGTGATATCTACGGTTATGCAAGCTGGCCGACCAACTCGCCGGCGTGATACTGTCAGTCGCTGCATGCTGTGCAGTAAAATGCTTCAGGTCATCTACTTGTGCCCCGTATTAAGGATCCCCACACGGTCTCTCCATATAGGTAGCATACCTACCCACAATCATGCTTCTCACAACTTTATAAAAACCATTCTCAACCAAGCAAATCGAACACGCAAATCCAGTTATATATATATATATATATCAAATACAGATATGAGGTAAATATGAATTTTAATATAAATCGAAATAGCAGTATATATACAGACATAAGCTAAATAAAAATTTAAATATGCATCTAAATAGAAATAGCAATATATATATATATATATATATACACACACACAAAAACACACGCACACACACATATATAAACATAATACACATACATACATGTACATATTATATATACATATGGATACATAACATGAAAATATTTGAAAAATAAGAGCACTTTCATCAATGTGTATATTATATATATATATATATACACACACACACACACACACACACACACACACATATATATATATACAACCCATACAGACACACATACACGGCACAGAGAGCAATACAGACATACGCGCGCACAGACACACCCACACACAGACTCAAGAACAAAAGCAAACAAACACACACAAAAACAACAACACACAAATATCTATATATACATATGTATAGCAAACACAACACCCACACAAAAACAACACGCACAATTATCTATATACACATATGTATATCACACACAACACAAACACAAAAAAACATGTGTACATAACCTACACAGACACTAATAATATATCCACTCACAAACAATAATAAATCGGTATAATAATTAATAATAATAGTATGATAGTATAATAGTAGTATAGTACTATAATAATATATAATAATAATAATATACATATATATATATATATATAGATACATTCACACACACACACATACGCACACACACACACACACATACACATATATACTATATATATATATATATATATATACGTAAATAAATACATACATATACGTACATATACACATAATATACACACATACATATATACATACATACATATATATATATAAATATATATATATATGTACATTTATATATATATAATAAATACATACATACACTCACACACCCATCCACCCACCGTGTGTGTGCGTATATATATATACATATATATATATATTTATAGATATAGATATATATATATATATATATATACACATACATGCATGCATACATACATACATACATACCCACCGACCGACCGACCAACCCACACACACACACACGCGCGCACAAACACACACACACACACACACACACACATATATATATATATATATATACGTAATTAATTTCAAATAACTGATGTGCTGCATCCAGACATACAAGTGCACATACATGAAGATACTATAATCAATGTGCAGGTTCAATGTCACTAACTGCGAATATCAAATCCTCAATTACATCCACTTAAGTACAAATAAGCTATCATAATCAGAATAAATAAATCTGGGTAAATATTTCCAACGCATACCCACTTGTCCAATTGACAGCTGTTTGTATATCTTTTCCATCTCCACCACAGTCTCTGCAGACTGCTTGGCCGCTCTTTGCTCCTGCTCAGCTCGATATTTGTCGTCTGTTTTCAGTTTCTTCATCATTTTCTTCTTTCTGTCTCTAAAACCAGACATAGTGCGCACCGATAGTACAGCACATATGTCCTGAGAGCGTCCACGACATGCTTGCCCCCATACTTCTGGTATACTAGCTCGAGCTACAGTGGATAAGCGTCCAGTCCCCGTTAATCTGCGGAGGGCTAACATTGTTCCAGATAGACACTTTGTCGATGATTACACTACAGCTGTGCACAGGTAGAAGCTTTGATCGTTCAACTTATTGATAGATAGAGATACATATGTATTTACTTTACTTCTACATACCCAATCCTCATTTGCCTCTCATCACATTGTGCATACATTCATACTATTTTTGGCGGCGGACACCGATTGTCAGAATGTTCGGTACTGATAGCCTTTGAGTCATTTGACTTTTCTCCTACGGAGTTTAAGATGTAAATATTGCAGTGTCAACTGTCAACTACTTTTAAGAAATGTCGACGCATCAGGATGTTCGGTATTGATTCGATTGAAAAGCAATGACACAAATCATTTGGCTTTTCACCATAGAGTCACAGACCGCACATACTTTTATCTCTCTTGACATCCAACTTCCGAGAGCATGTAAAAATAACTATGTTGTATCTTCGAGGTACTGTGTGTATTTAGCTTCGAGTGTACACGCAACACCACCAGATACAATGGAAGACATGGTGTCGTCCTCTGAGTCTGTTTGCTTTATCATCAAGTGGAATGGCTCTGAGTATCCAATCAACATGCCAGGGACAGATACAGTTGTGGATCTCAAGGTGGAAGTGGCCCAGTTGACAGGGGTAGAAACACATCGACAGAAAATACTGGGGTTGAAATTAAACAGTATGTGGGTAGCAAAAGATTTATGTATCTGTCGGTGGTTATATGCATGCTTGCGTGTACGAAGGCTCTGTTATAAATTATGTACCGGGGGTAGAGTCACATCCACAGAGAATACTGAAGCCCAAGTAAAACCGTATGCGGGTAACATGAAGCTTTCCAACGTTTCTTTAGGGCTTTAGAGTTAATGTGTATTCGACGGGTCTATTATTAGCTGCAATCAACAGACCTCTGAGTATATCTTGATAAAAGGCTACATAGGGCTTTATGGGTTAATGTGTATGACGGGTCTATTAATAGCAGCAATCAACAGACCCTGAGTATCTCTTGATAAAAGGCTACATAGGGCTTTATGGGTTAATGTGTATGACGGGTCTATTAATAGCAGCAATCAACAGACCCTGAGTATCTCTTGATAAAAGGCTACACGCGTATCTGATTTAGTTACACGTTTGACAGAGGCATTGTTTTTGGAGTGCCCCTGTTTGCCAAGGGGTTGGGCTAAGTTTTGAGTGTATTTTGATGTATGCTTGTACACATATTCGGCTTGTCTTCAGTATACAACTTTGCACTTCTATCTGAACACATGCACACACGTACAAAACGTTTGTTTGACCAGTCCCTATATGTTGGCTATGCTCGGTTTATTTTCACATATTTATCACACGAATGAACTCCTTATGATGATTAACTAAACTTGATCAGTGTGGTTTTGGTTAACGATGCGAGTTTGGCACTTTATTGTGTATAATTTCGATTGATTTAGGTACGTATACATCATTTTCTCACTAGGAGGGATGTAAATCGGTTACAACACGCTTCTCTCTAGATACTATATTTCGTATGTGGTTTCTATGACGTGTATGATCACGAAGCGTATGAGAGTACTCCAAGTCTACCAGATCCATCGAAGTATTCGGTACGCATAATAATTGCTGTTGTTTGTCACAAACTTTTCGCTTGTAGGAAAGCCAGCGCCCGATGATGCCCAATTGCAGACCTTAAGTATCAAACCAGGATCGAAGGTGATGATGATGGGTACACGGCCTGAGAACATAATCGTTACTCCGGAGGAGGTGAGTGCGGAACTAAAACAAGTCCAGACGCTCGCTTTCTGTGGTCCATCTCGCACGCCTCTTAATGATGCTGGTTGTGTTTTGGTTCACACCGAACTGTCTCAAACCTGTGTTTGCTGCCCCACAGGCGCTCATGCCCAATTTTGGCTATCCTTGGCAGGGCAGTAGATACAGACCTAGTGCTCTTCTATGCCTCGGGATATAACTATTACGTGCTTTTATCACCTGCTTTTAACAGAACTACGATGACAATGTTGTGAATGACTTTGAGATCGACAGTGAGGTCGTTGCTGTCGTGGAGAGGTTTGTCTGAATTCTGCCTAGTATTGCCTTATGCTATTTGTAACGCGTGCCTGCGTAACCCTTTAATAAGCACGGTGTTATTAAATTTTATGTATTTGTATCATCCCATCGAGAGACATTTCACCATCATGGAAATTTTCGCTTGTAAAAAGGAACCTTGTGTTCATTGTCCACAAGTACTATCACGAAATTAGAATATATTTATTGTGTTCCTATTTTCGTCCCAATAGAACCGAGAACCTGCAGAAGATCAAGAGGCGAGTGGAACAATATAAAATCGACGTAAGTGCACATCAACTGTATTTGGTGAATTTGTTTGCACTCTTTCCAATACCCTTCAGTCGACAGCGCTTTTATTGATTTAGCCTCAATATTTCTTTTGGTGTCACTTCTCTAATTAACCCAGGTTCTCCAAGTGCCGAGGAAAGGAAAAAAGCTGCTTGTGCTCGATGTGGACTATACACTGTTTGATCACAGATCCGTAGGTATTACGCTTCATGTGCACTTTTTCTGCTGCGAGCAATTTGATCCCTGGTGTACTTCATTTCACTATTCGAATAATTTACATTATCGCACTACGCTAGGGGTGGCGGGCGTGGTGGTGGTGGTGGGGACTGGCACCATTCATTTTGGGTTGGCTTTGATTCCGCGGAAAAGTGCACTCATCCTGATTTCAAACTGTGTTGTTACAGTTGAGTCGTTCCATCATCTGATGCGGCCATACCTCCACGAATTTCTCGCAGCCGCCTACGACTACTATGATATCGTCATATGGTGTGAGTTTACTGTATTATGAATACAAAATTAATGGTTGTAATGTATATTGTGATTTGAAAATCCGATATCAATCTTCGCGCAGGTTGGTGTGAACTATGCAATCACAGAGGTGGCTTACTGCGTTCATATGACGTTTTAAGGATAAGAGCTGAGATTTAAAGCCTTCGGATTGTATCAGTTGTAGTTGCTGCTCATAGTCTGGTTGCTTTCGCTTGCCCGTGGCTGCTGGTAGATGCCTAAATGTTATGATGAACTGACACAACTTTCAAATTCACGGGTCGCTACAGCTGCGACGGGTATGAACTGGGTGGAAACGAAAATGAGACTCCTGGGTGTGCTGAACAATCCGAGCTATAAAAGTATGCCAGCTGACTGTCGACAAACATTGTTTACTTTCATGGTCGTAATGTTATGGATTCGTAGCCATTATGTACTGAGCTCAAGTGTATTGCGACTCAGCAGCTTTCTTTCTTCGTCCAAAACTAACGAACCAACAGTTTCATTTCTGCTATGCGCACGAGCTATGATTTCCGTCGAGACAGCTAAGAGGGGAGTGGTGAACACCAAGGCATTGGGTGTTGTCTGGTATGTGTCGTCTTAAAGAGTTGCCTGTAGGCACGGTTTTCGGTCTACAATGTGGACCGAGTGTGGCGTAATTCTATTACACATGAGAAGCTTCGTAATTCGAGCCAGGGCGAATTTGCTAAACTTACTCTATCCTGCGTTTCGCACAGGGGAAAATTCCCGGAATTCTATAACTCGAAACAAACTATAATATTCGATGATATACGAAGAAATTTCCTGATGAATCCTCAGAACGGCTTGAGAATCAAGCCTTTCCGCGATGCGATGGTTAACAGGGCCACCGACAATACACTCAAGCGACTAGCAAAGGTATTGTACCACTTCTTTTCACCACGTGACGAATGGAATTGTGGATACGTTGAGAGCCAAATAAGTGTCACGTCTATGATTCGGGTGCTGATGTGTGCAAATTCTCAACCCATGTTAAAAGGAGTGTCCTCGCACCATACCCAAACATTTCTAATTGTCTAATGACAATTTGAACTTGTACTTTGAGGGGTTTCACCCACACTAAGCTCAAATATCACTGGGGCTCCATTTGCAGTATCTAGTCCTCATCGCTGAGTTGGATAGTCTGGAGGATCTCGATCACAGGCATTGGAAGCAATACGTGAGGGACAGGACCGGCTGATTGCGATGCGCACACCACTATTTGTGTGCGCATGTTCTGCTCCATCTGGCCTCGATGCAATATGAAGAGCACCAATGCAAGTATATCGTCGTCTTAGCCATGCATCTACAGTCAACATATACAGGAGATGTGATCGACTACTTCCAATTCGTGCGCGCGGAGAGATCGTCTGGACAGTATATAGGTCTTGGGACATCACAGTCTAGTTCATGTGTGCGATTAGACCAGTATTTTGCAAAGTGACATAGGACACAAAAACGGATCCACAACTGCCATTATTGATGAGCCATGCGAACATATCGCAATACAATGGTCAGCGCGACACGGTATATCCTTTCTTGCTAGCTCGATACATTTCGACGCAGAGAAACAAAGGCAGCGGTGTGTGAGATACAATTTATTGAGTCTAATCAAAGGCCATGCCTGGTAGCTTACTGTGTAACACCGCGTCGCATATTTAATTTGGGCAGTTTCAGGGGGTATGTGAGCTGGGCGGTACCATCCTTGGCATTCAATCCGCAACCAATGGTCTTCAGAAGTGACTTTATTCTCGGTAGAGTGAGCCTGTAGTGCAATGCAACACAGAGCCCAGGAAAAGGTAGCGGCAAGGAGACAGGAAGCTTAGCAAGAGGTACAACCATACTTAAGCAATCGAGAGTGCAATGTGGAATATGTTGCTTCACCACGGTACCCCACACACACACATGCATACACTTAAATACTCAAGTGGGGCCTTGCGACATAAACTGAGAAGGCGATTACTTCACCAAGAACATACCTGAGATCTTTGGCAAGATCCTTATACGGTAAGCTGAAATCAGTCAAGTGCAGGGATAACGCACAGATGTGTGCAGCGAGCTGTACAAATCAATAATGATACATTGTAAATGGAAACACATTGTAAATGTAAATACATTGTAAATGGGAACGAGATTAAAATTCAGTGTGAAACCATACGACTTAACAAGGTCGAATCGGAAAAATATGTATCAAATAAATGGCTGGCTAAAGATAACAGGATAGTAAAACACACCCGATCGTGCTGGAAACTCGACAGGGTGTACTTCTTCTTTGCTCCATCCATCTGACAAAAAAATTATTATACGGCACAGCATGCGAGTATGAGCTAGCGCCGAGAGATGTTTGCGTTTCTTGCATATACAAACGTGTGCATCTGTGAGTACGTATACTATGATTCTCAATTGATTGAATTTGGAATAGGTAAGATTGACGCCATGCTGTTTTACATATACATACATTTACTTTATATATGCAAGTATGCTGGTTTTAGGTTCATACTGCTTAAATAAATAAAGTCAAGCATAACATGAGTCCACGTGTACTGATTAGACGCAGAGAAGAATAAGTAAAACACATAATAGTACTCTTTACAAAATCTGTTTATAGCTTGAATGCAATACAATTATCGCGCATTTAAAAAACCTACCTCAACTGTTGTGAAAGTGTCAGTAATACGATCCCGGATGGTCATGGGAATATCCACCAAATGCCACGAGTCGTCATGCAATTTTTTGCTGTTGTTGTAGATATTCATAAGATATTGTATATATATAATCGTGCGGGCCATCTGTAAAAAATGTGCGATGGAAACTGAATGAGGAGTCCAATTAAACTTATTCTGTTTCACAATTTGATGATCTTGAGGGCAATCTCAAACAATCCAGAACATTGGGAGGTCCGTTCTCAAATATCAAAATCCAAGTTATCGCCGTGCTCGTTTAAGCAAGAGATATTAGATACCACCAGAAAATCATTCACACCGACACACTGGAGTAGCTAACCTTCAAGTTATTCAAAGATAAGATATACCAACAAAGCTAACGGTGACTAGAACGCAACCACCTACTTTGACACGCCATGGTCCCTTCTCCGGCATTCGCATGGCTTGGCTGAGCGCAAATTTACTGTACCAGCAGAACTTGTTCTTAGACATATCCTGCACATCTTCTAACGAGGACTGCAGTTGGGTAGGGGCAGGCAGAGAGGAGGATTGCATGAGTAAAAAAGGTGGATAGCTAGGTAGTGGTCATCTATGACTTGACATGTTAAATTTTCATTGCCTCTTTAAAAAATAAGAAGTCGTGGCGTTTGGAACTAATTAGCGAGTAGGCACTGCTCGAAAAATGGGGGATTACACAAGTTTGAGGTTAGACGTTCAACCCAAAATGAGTCTACGCCAAGCAATAAGGGCACAGTATCAAGGGTTAAGCCGAGCCCGGACACTCAATTCAATATAAGCACTTGATTAAGCGTCTGTAAACAAATTCAATTATCAGAAATATTGAATTTATCAGGTGAATAAATATCAATACAAGTACATGACCTACCGATAGCAACTCCTCAGAAGGCTCGCCCAGAGCCCTGTACTCTTGGGGAGTGATCAGAGAATCGTACTGATATATCTCTTCCTGCTTGGTAGCCTCGGCATTGACCGGTGGCAGAGGCAAGTTGGCATCCAGCAGCACCTGAGTGTCTTCCTTAGTGAACTGGTCAAAGCCCTTCAGCGCAGCTTTGGCAATACCTTGCACGTCCGTGATGGCCGCACTGGTCAGCTGATTCCTTTGACGAGCCTGCATTTTCCTGAGGTTCTTGCGCCCTCCGTACGACTCCACCAGTGTGGTCTTAGCTGCAAAGTACTCGGCGTCCTTCTCTCTCTGAGTGGTGGCGCGACTTTGGAAGTTGTTGTCGGCCGTGATGGTCGAGGTCTTCAGACTCTTAGGAATTTGGCCCAGGGGGATGTGCCCGGCTTCGTAGATCTTTATGATACCTGTGTCAGGATTTACTACGCCCACAGCGAACTTGCGGGTCATCGATGATTTCTCGCTATGACCGTAATTCTGGCCGTAGAACTCGACATTCTGCAGAGCAAGTTAGTTTGTCAGCACACATGCAATGGCGATAGAGGAGGCCAATATCGCTTAGTAAGTGTTAAGTCGAATTTAACGCGGTTACGTTCCTTTATAGAAATGTATTGGCTAGATGTAAGGCGATCGACCATTCCTGCGCTTCCGCAAAGTAAATAAACACAAAAATATCTCAGGGTCATACTCATTTCTCCCTCTCGAGACTCATTACAACTACTAGGCTTGCTTTTGTAACACAATTATAGCACTTTTTTGTTTGTAAGACACTGCTTTTGGACCCATAGAGATAACCAAAGGCGGACAGCATGATCTATAACAAAACATTCGTAAATCATAAAATACCTCCGAAGAGCCCACGATGACCTCTCTTCTTCCGTTAGCATGCTTATGTAGATTGAATGTAGCAGCGGAATCACCGTCTTCAAAAAGCTCTTTCTGTGGAATACCTACAGAACAAAATAAAAAGATATTTTCAACAGGAATTATACCCCTATAATGATTGACACGAGTACAGGCGCACACCAAGTAGATATGGCTGAAGGAATACATACGCATGCTGTAGAGTATGAGATTAAATCGAGTGAGATTGGCGGAAGAAACACAAGCGCACATTGTTCAAGAAACAAGAACTGTCTGCCAACAAGCCAACTAGGTTCTGCACGTGTCTTCGTGTTAGTCTTTAATTCGTTCTAAAAGTACATGGAACTACCACCCTCATTCACACTGCAAATCCCTCAACAAAGGCTTTCGGTCTAAGACCGATTAAATGTAACATAATTTAAATAAAATATAAAAACATTGTCTACACACGTACATTCACACAAATATCAAGGGCTCTACTTAAAGTATCTAGAAAAACACCACTGAATGAAAACAAAAAACAATGACATGGTCGTAAAACAATACATACATACACATAACACACACATAGCCCCCCCCCCCCGCCCCCCCACACACGCATATATATATACATATATACATATATTCAAACAAACACACACACTCTGATATTCAAATATAGGTATATATACATATGCATGAATATATATATACATATTACACACACACTTGATACAGACAAACACGTATGAATATATACGTACATAAAATTAAACACGGAAAACACATACGCACACACATATATATATATACATACATACAAAAACACACAAATAATACACCAAATTCACAAACACAAACACACACACACACATATATATATAAAAACTTATATATATATGTATATATACATACATACATTTATCAGTATACATATATGATAACATACATAAATACATACATAGATACATATTTGTATACATACATACATGCATGCATACACTACATTACATATATACATACGCGCATGCACCTACTGATACTCATACACACATACACTTACGCACACACACACACATGCAGATGGAAAGATACAAACATACATACATATATCACAATATATACACCATATTACACAGACACAGACACAGACAAAGACACACATATATGTATATGGACGGACACAGACACAGACACAGACACAGACACATATATATATGTATATATTTATATGGACACACACACACACACACACACACACACACACACATATATATACAATATATATATATATATGTATATACAAATACACGCACACACACA